TGTAAGCGACAATGACAAAGGCACAAAAGAAAAGCCACAGAAAAAATGTTAATAAATAAATAAATAAACAATTTCAGCGGAAACTTCAATATAAACAACCAAAGTGTAAGCTAGTAAGAGTAGGTGTATATATGTATGTACTTAACAGGCCACCAAATTGAAGAGACAAAAAGTTTTAAAGAAAGTAAAGAATGCAGTATGTAATACGAAAATTATTAATTGTTAGCTGATTCTTGGCTTTTGTTTTCTTTTTTTATTGTATTTATGCCTTTGCAATATACTTATGCAAATAAATTATTGTGCGTGGAGGTATGAAATATATATTTATAATGCGAAGCACTTGTTGACTACGTGAAAAAAGCAAACTGGTATGTTGACATACAATAAATAGGGCAACGTAATAAAATATTTACGAAGAAAATATTTAGGTTGATATATTAAGGAAGCAATTGACAGCAATTGCTAATTAAAAGCTTTTTAGCTTTCTAGAAAAATTTCAATCAAGGCGTAGTACTTGCTTAATTGTTGGTGTTCATACACAGACGAATCAAAATTTGGGGAATGAACGCTTGCTGTATCGCTGTGATATTTTTGAATAAAATTTGATTACACAGTAAGCTTGCTTTGGAAGTATTAAACTCCAACCAAAAATTGCCTTCTTCTTCTTGGTGGATGGAATAAGAAACCACAAGTTGACGTAGTTAGCTTAGGAAGAGCAATCCTCACAGGATATTGCTGGATTTGGTTAAGCAAGCCCTGAGGCAAGTTCTAAAGAAGCTTTTCATAGCCACTCTTTTGTAGATATACATACATATCATTGTCTGAATAGAAGAGTGTCGTATGTTACTTGCGGCAGGTTTTGAAAAAATCGCGATTAAAGTATGGAATGTAATTTCTCAAAACGCGACGATAGATTTTCTGTAAAGTCTCGGAGAATGTTACTATTTAGTTCACGAAATTCTTAAATTATTTTATTTTTATTGTTTATTGTTAATTATTTTTAAGTTAATGAAGTTTTTTCTTTAGTAAAATTTTGTCATATGCTACACTAGTCAACAATTTTGCAGCCACTTTATATGACATACCACAAAATTTTATAAAACAAATTGTACTAAATAAAGATACACATTGAACCCGGAAACTAAAGCAGGTATCCAAAATAGGATAACGTCATTCGAAAGATTTGATCAGTTTGGAACGATTGCGCTATTAACTCAATTTTTGTAATTAATTTCCAGTAAAATTGTAGTCAATACCTCGGAAACTAAAGAAGATATCGAAAGACACCAATCGAAGGACCTTATTTTAAAATATATAACTGCAGCTATAACGAAAAATCGTCAAAATTGCGCTTACGACAATATTTTGTCTAGGTGACGATATGCGATTTTAGATGATCTCAGTTCTATAAAAATCTCCAGTCTTATGAAATTCATTTACCTAACACATTTTGTGTGCCCGGTTTTCTCACAACACTCAAAAAAAAGTTTAATCAAGTTCCTTTAAATTTTAAAGGAAGTTAAGTTTAAGGAAAAGCTCAAAGTTAAGGTACAAGAAATATTTCCTAAAGCGCACTTCATTGCTTCCCTGATTCTGGCGTCCTTCACAACGTACAATATCTTTAGTTATTGCATCAAGGTGAACATACTTTCGTATGTATGTATGTATAATTAACCGAGAGAAAAACAACAATTTTTCAGCTTTAGACCACATGGCGAATGCCAGACGAATCTAAAACTGAATTCATTTAAACTCGAATGGCATATCGGTTGGGATCATCAGGGTTCTCGGAATGAGAAGCTTCTCAGCTATGAACTTTCCTTTGAGTATCGTTGCATGAATCACATTATCCATGATTAACGATCCAACCGTCAGTTGTAAATTGTGCGTTGGCAAGCCAGAAAGTTCCAAATGTGTTTAAAAATTCAATTGCTTCGTCATAGCTGATGCTTTTTGAAGTATTGGGTACTGAAAATTCAGCACATCACTACTGTCAGATTTGACAGATGAAGTTCTTTACGGATTTCAGTTTTTTGTGGTTCGCTTACTTTTGCAAATGCGCGAGGAAACTTCTCTACGACGAGAAGAACAAGAAAAAAGCATACATACAAATCAGTCAATCCGTTCTCAAAATGCGATTATTATTAAAAAGCCGAACCACACGAAATGTGTGAGAAAATGAATTTTCTGAAAAATTTTTGCTAAGTTTTTGCTATTCGGAACAGAGATGAATTAAACAAATTATAAATGGAGTAACCATCCGGAACAAATCTTAAAAAAAAAAAATTTAATTTGACTTCAGGTTCGCCTGATGAAAGGAATTTAACTGAAATTCAATTGAATTCCAGCATATCACATCACTCATTTATGTATTGCAGCATTCGATTAATAAACTCACAGCATTAAACAACACGAATGGCATACGGCTAAAAGGAATGCTTTTAGTCATTTAGCTACCAACTTTCAAAGGCTGTATTTGACAGAATTCGAGTAATTAAGAAGCGCAAATGTATACCTGTTCAAATTCGTAAAGCTTGAATAAGTATTAAGCAGACTAATCGCCTTAAATATATATGCTCCATATATATAGCTTTTACGCACAATCGTATGAATTATTATTAATACACACACACACAAACATATGTAGATACATATATGCTTACATGTAAATTTTATTAAGCCATTAGTTATGCATGCCAATCTACATATCTACTAAATCTTAAACAAATACAAGCGTGCCATAAACTTACAATTTATTGATAAATATTTACATAAATATTTTGTATTTGCACTGACTTGACACTTCGCTTACCGCTTGGTTGGCTTGAATCGTACGAAATTTCTTATGTTTGTATGTATGTATGTATATGAAACTTGTCACTTACCTAGAATGAAAGAAAATGAAGGAGGGGATATGAGTAAAATTTTGTGCAAATTTTATCAGTAAAATATTTTGTGCATAATAAAGTTACTAATTTATAGATAATAGCAAATAATAGCCTAAAAGCACACACACACCAGAATGTCGACCAATTTCAATAACAATTTAGATTAAGAATTTAATTTAAATATTATTATGTACAAT